ATGCCAATGACGCCAAAATATTCACTCTGTAAACTTTAGTTTTTGGAATAAAAATATGAGGCCTTTATTTTGATATTTGCTTTATGCTTTAATTGTTTAAGGTGATTTCTTTAAAAAATAAGAAGACAAAATGTATTAAGATGATAGAAAACCAAGTTCCTCCCATTTTAGCGGGGAAATGAGAAGAACTTGTTTTCTTTTCTTTTCTATTAGGAATATTAAAGATAATAGGAAATAAAGAATACTCGGTATTATTTAATTAATTACTTTCCATATTCTATTACTTTTATAATTATAATTCTAAAATGGTTAGAATTTTTTCTTGTGTTCTCTATATATAGAGACAAACTTCATTATTTAATAAAATAAATGATTACCAAATTTTATTATGGTATCGGAGTAAGAGTTTTTCCCTCTCCTAAAAAGTAGTGTATGTGTTTAACAACTGCCACCGATCCTTACTACCATGCTTAATGGCTGTCTTTCCTTATCATTCAATTTTTTCTCTCTAAAAAATTATGATCGTGCCGAACCATTGTCGTCCTTTATATTTCGCTCTTTAAAATCCTGTAATGATCGAATAATTAGAAAATTGCATTTGTTTGTTTTTCTTCTAGAGTTTGAGAGTGTTATAGTGTACATGAACGTGTATATGGGTTGAGTTGGAATCATTGGCTTAGGTTAGTTCTATGTTACAGTGATACTCCCTCTCCCTCTCTCTCTAAAAAATCATGTACATGATCAAATAATTAGAAAACTGCATTTGTTTGTTTTTTTCTAGAGTGTTGGCCATGTGTGTAGCAATATAATTATCCCGTGGTGGAGACTAGATATGAGAGCCAAGTCACACTCGGATGTCATGGGCGCTTGTGTTCGTTGATTATAACGCAGTATAAGGCTGGGGTATGCGCTTCATCTAACACCAACTGATTTTAGAAGGGTTGGTAGCGCCTTAGGTTCTATAAATGTTATCGGAGCCAAGGTCACGAGTTCGATTCTTTGTGCGAGCAATTATTGAGAGGGGAGATTGTTGGCAATGTGTGCAGCAATTGTCCCGTGGTAGAGGCTATATGAGCCAAGTCACACTCGAATATTATGCACGCTTGTGTTTGCTGAATGTACTATAAGGCTAGGGTATGCACTTCTTCCAACATTAATTGGTTTTAGAAAAGTTTGTAGCGTCAACTACTACAAAAAAGGTTTTTTGAATCGGTTATTTTTACCTTTTTAAATCGGTTGTCAGCCGATGCAAAAGCTAGCGATGCAAATGCTGAGGTAACTTTTTGCATCGGTTGTAAAACCGATTCAAAAGCTCCTTCCCAGAATTGGCGCCACCTGTGGGAAGGAGCATTTGAATCGGTTGTTAGCAAACAATCGATTCAAATACTCCTTCCCATTTCTAGGAAGGGGCTTTTGAATCGGTTGTTTGCTAACAACCGATTCAAAAGGTCACGAGTTTGATTCCCAGCGGGAGAAATTAAATTACTAAGAGGGCAGATTGTTGGCAATGTGTGTAGCAATTGTCTAGTGGTGGAGGCTATGTGAGCCAAATCACACTTTGTGTTTGCAGAATGCCCTATAAGGCTAGGGCATGCGTTTCTTCCAACACTAATTAGGTTTTAAAAGAATTGATAGCGTCTGAGGTCTTATATAGAGTTTGAGAGTCTTACAATATACACATGTATATGGACTGAGTTTTAATCACGGGCTCATGTTAATTCTATGCTACAGTGTATACATGTGTATGAGCTGAGTAATAATCATGGGCTAGAGTTAGTACTAACTAACTCATTTATGTTAAACAGTTTGTTCGATTAAACCTGCAGCATATATCAGATCAGATGAAAACTTGTATTGAGATTCATTCAAGAAACAAGATGAATCCTCTTTCCTAATCTCTCAGTTCTCTTTGTTCTCTTTCTTTCTCCATTGACGTTGTGCAAAGTATTTGAAGCTCTCCATTTCTAAGTAGCTCTAGGTACCTTGTTTATGAGAACATGAGAAGCGATAGAAAAGCAAAGACTGACTCACAAGGAGAAAAGAAAATAAATTAAATGCCCTTTTTCCAATCGCCAACACTCTCCCTAGAACATAACTCAATGTAAATGAATATACTGTAAACCTTGTTTGTCATGCAACGAAGATCTACCTAGCAGCTATCTCGAAACTGCTCCACCGACTCTATTTCAATACCTATACTCCAAGCTGCTTCTCGCTACTGTTGATCTAGGAAGATATGAGAACTATTAGGGATAATAGAAAACAAATAAGATCATTAATGAATTTCTTTATTTTATTACTTCAATAATGTTGTTCTGCTATTATTAGAATTCTTTCTTGTATTTCTTCAATATAAGGATGAAAACTTCATTATTCAATAAAGCTAATTGTTATCAAACTGTATCATTTTCCAACCAAATTCATTGAACCGAAACAAAGTGTAAGAGCGTCAATAAAATTTACGAAGTACGCCAACTTTTTTGATGTCATCTAAAATACTCTTTGCGTCCACCATAGATATTTTTGGACACTATTCACAGGATCAAACATAACTCACTTTGTTTGCCTATTTTTGCTAGTTATTTCATAAAATAATATAGTCTTGTCACCTCTAGTTTTGTATAACACTTCATGTAGTTTGTTACTATATATATTTTGTTTTAAAATTTTACCCTAGACCTTAGGTGCATGTAATAATTTACAATGCAAAAATATAACAAGTACGGAATAGTTTCGAGAAAACCTCTTAATCTACGGGGTCTATGTTTGTGTAATAGTTCTCCACTAAATCATTCACTATATGGAGATCGTCTACACCGACCAATAATTAAGAACACGATAAGATACGTTTTTTTAAATCGTTTTGACAAAACCAATAATCTAGGATTTTTATCAATCTTAATTGACTAGGGGAAAAAAATCATTATTTTAATTTCAAATGTAATAATTTTACCACTATCTCAAGAAAAAGCAAAACCACCCCAAAAAATATGTAAGAAAACAAATTTTAGATGATAACAAAGAATTCACTGATCCTAATTTATCAATTAATTAAGAAAATCAATTAAAGCAAGCGTTGGAGTTGGGCTCTTTCGAAGTGGTAGTTGTGCAAAAGGGTGTCACGCGACTAAACAAACAATCACTCTAACTAATATGATTATTTAAGAGGGCGTTGTGCAATCTACGTTTGTCATCATTGGAGTCAAGATTATACACAAGATTACAAGTGGACTCTAAATGTGCCCATTAAAGGTGCACGATATGGGAGAAGTAATTTGTACTCCGTATTTGATACCAAAATAAGTCTAGGTAGCAAATTTGTAAAAATGGTACAGTAATAACACCGCCCCTAGTACTTTGGTACCAAACTAGACTCGAACCCGTGCGTTCCACGGCCAAAAATAAAAGTTAAAAAATAACACAATGTATTGAGGTTAGAATTCAATAGGACTGAATTAAAATACAAATATATAACGAAATATTTGAGATGATGAAGTATACAATGATATAGATATTGGAAACGTTACATTATAAGTTTTGGAACACTTCTTTATAAACTACGTTGGCAGTTTGGTTCATCTTAGCTGGGTCTTCATTGCATATCAAGATCTTTAAACCTCTGCGATTAGTGACACGTGAAAGCGCTACGTAAAGCTGGCCATGGCTGAATACCGACTTCTTCAATAAAAGCCCAACATGCGACAATGACTGTCCTTGACTTTTATTAATTGTCATTGCATATGAAATCATAATTGGGAATTGTTTCCTTTGAAACTTAAAAGGAATCCTGGTATCTGACGGTGTAAGCAGCAACCGTGGGATAACAACTTCTTGTCCAATATTTTTCCCCGTAAGCACCGTAGCTTGAATAAGATGATTGCCTAGTCGAGTAACAAT